CCCCGCCCTTCCCCCCCCCCGCCCCCGTGGGACTCGGGCCTTGGGAAATATTGACCCACGGGGGGGAGGGGGGCACACGGAACTGCCCGGGGCGGGACCCCCCCCCGCCCCCGTGGGACTCGGGCCTTGGGAAATATTGACCCACGGGGGGGAGGGGGGCACACGGAACTGCCCGGGGCGGGACCCCCCCCCGCCCCCGTGGGACTCGGGCCTTGGGAAATATTGACCCACGGGGGGGAGGGGGGCACACGGAACTGCCCGGGGCGGGACCCCCCCCGGCCCCGGGAACCCCCCCCCGCATTCCCACGCTCCTGCTTTCTCCAGAACTCCCGGAATTCCACCCACAAATCACCCGCAAACGGCGTTTTCTTCCCAACTTTTATTTTTTTTGGGGGGAGGGGCAGGGCGGGTTTGAGGGATACAGAAACGCGGCTGTTCCGTCTCCGGGGCGGTTTCGGGTCACGGAAGCGGCGAAAAGTCGATTTTCTGCATCACTGGAAGGGAAAAAAGGAAAAATCCAGGGGAGCTTTGGGGCAGTTTCCCTCTATTTTGGTCATTATCATGCTTTTTTGAACTTTCCCGTTTTCTAGGGCTGCCCTCCCCCCCTCCACCCCCCCCGGGGAGGGGTTCTTTCCCCTTTTTTTTGATCACTTTTCCTCCTTTTTTGGCTCTTTTCCCCCATTTTTGTGCTACCCTCCCCTTTTTGGGAGGCTCTTTCCCCCTTTTTTGGGGTCTCTTTCTCTTTTTTGGACTCTTTCTCCCTCTTTTTGGGCTCTTTCCCCCTGTTTTTGGCTCTTTCACCTATTTTCTGTTTTCCCCTCCTTTTAAGGCTCTTTCCCTCCTTTTTGAGCTCTTTTCCATCTCTTTTTTCCATCTTTCCCCTTGCTGGGCAGGCTCTTCCCCCTCTTTTTCACGCTCTTTTCCCCTTTTTTCCTTCCAACCCCCACAAGCCCCTCCCCCTTTGCCCCCCCAGGTGTCCCCACCTGGCTGAAGTCAGGAGCCCTCCAGGCCTGTGCCAGCTCCCTCGTGTCCCCTGTCACTGTCCCGTCGGGGCCCCGCAGGTCATTGGTCGTGGCCCCATCGTAGTCCCCGCAGAGGCCACAGAGAGTCCCCCGAGTGTCCTTTGTCACCTCCAGGGCCACCCCCTGGGCTCCCAGTTCCACCTGGAATCCCGGGATCCACTCGATCTGGAGGGTCCCGCCTGACTCTGTGATGTTCAACTTCCCCGAGAGCTCTGCGGGGAGGGGGGTGGGGACTCCGTTGAGCTGGAAAAACCAAATTGTGAGGGATTTCAGTATTGGGATGTGGGAGGGGGTATTGGAGGAGTCTGGGTGGGAAAGAAGGAGTTTGGGGAAAATGATGGGATGGGTCAAGGCATGGTGGGATGAAGGGACAACCCATGTAGGTTCATGAAATTGGGAAGAAATGAGCAATTTTAGCAAAAATTATGGGGTGGGTCAGTCTATGGATGTGTCATAGTGACCATTGCCTGCAGAACTGCTTCCCTGGCATGCAATTGGGAGAGCAATTAGGGAAAAAAAGAGCAGTTTTAGGCAAAATGATGGGATGGATCAAGGCATGGGGGAGTGGGATGAGGGGCAACCCATATAGGTGAGAAAAAAAGAGTGATTGGGGGAAAAAAGAGCAATTTTAGTCAAAATGATGAGGTGGGTCAAGGCACGGTGAGGGACAACTCATGTAGGTGCTTCCCTGGCATGAAATCAGAGGAAAAAAGAGCAATCTGGGGCAAAATCAAGGTTAGAACATCTTGTGGTGGTGGGATGGGACAACCCACATGGACTTTTTCCCAGCATGAAATAAAGGAGAAAACCCAGATTTTTGGTTAAAATAAAGGTCAGGAGAACTTTAGGGTGGCACTTTTGGGCCCAACTCACCCAGACCCTGCCGTCCATGCGGGCGGTGATGAGCCCATGGTGGGTGAAGAGGTGAAGGGCCACCACCCCTGGGTGGTCCCCGATGTCCCCAATGACCCCCAGCAGCCGGAACCAGGTGGGGGCCCGGTGGTCACACACAGTGGCCACCACGTAGATGCCGGTGGCCAGGGTGGCCCCGGGGAGGCCATCAAAGGTGACAAAGTGGGTGGGGGAGGACAGGAGGCACCGCCCTGGGCGGGGAACACAAGTCCGGGTGCCATTCAAGAGGTCACAGGTGTGGCCCAGGGGGCAGGAGAAGGGGCGGCACTGGAGCCCCCCTGGGCCCCGGCATGTGCAGGACTGGGAGCAGTCCCGGGTCAGGATGGTCTGGGCGATCTGTTTCCAGGGAAAAAGGGGGGAAAAGTGGGAAAAAGTGGTCAAAAAATAGGGATGATGTTGCTGTGAAGGTGTCATGGTCCATGTCCCCATGTCTCCCCACATCCCCACCCCCCCCATGGGGACACTTAGGGGGGACTGGGACCTGCTGGGGGACACTAGGAATGCTGGGGGAGGCACTGGGGACACTGGGACATTCTGGAGACATTGGGGGACATGGGGACATTCTGGGGGATACTGGGAATGCTGGTGGAGACGCCGGGATACTGGGATATTCTCGAGACACTGGGGGACACTGGGAAGGACAGTGGGACTTTCTGGGGGACACTGGGACATTCTGGGAAATTCTGAGGGATGCTGGGAATGCTGGGGGAAGCACTGGGGGAAACTGGAATATTTTGGAGACATTTGGGGACACTGGGACTTTCTAGGGCACACTGGGAATGATGGAGGAGGCACTGGGGTTCTGGGACATTCGGGGGGATGCTGGGAAAAACACTGGGTGGTACTGGTATAAATTAGGAGCCATTGGTGAGGGGGACAGAGAAAAACTGGGAGGGATTGGGAACACCAGGGCGGATAGTGGGGAAGGACTGGAATGCACTGTGAAGCAACTGGGATGTACTGGGAAGGAAGTGGGGACAGTGGGGGCACACCAGAGGGGAGTGGGATCAACTGGGGATGGCTAGAAGAGACTGGGGGGGATTACTGGGACAGACTGGGGATACTGAGCGGGCACACTAGAGGGAACTGGGGGAGACTGGAAGGGTCTGGGGGGAAACTGGAGCATACTGGGAGGTACAAGGGACACTGGGGGGTGCAGTGACGGGGAGTGGGATCAACTTGGGAAAACTGGGAAGACCCAGGGCTGGGACTGAACTGGGCGGGACTGGGAGGCACTGGGGCCACACCCACCTGGAAGTACCGCCCTTGGTGGAAGCAGCCGCAGTTCCCCGGGGGGACGCAGCGGGCGCCGTCGAAAAGGAGCCCCTCAGAGCACTGACAGCCCTCGAAGCACCGCCCGCTGCAGGGGGGCGGGGCCGACACACCTGCGCAGGTGCGGGCACAGGTGCGGGCACAGAGCTGGTACTGGGAGCGGGGGGGGCACAGCAGGGCTGGGGGCGAGACAGAGGGGTCACCGAGGGGCACCTGGGGCCAAGGGGCTCAATGGGGGTCATATTCCCAACCCCAAAAATTCCTGCTATCCCAGATCCCTGACCCCCAAATCCCCAACCTCCAAAATTCCCATGCCCCAAAATTCCTGCCCCCCCAATCCTCAACCTCCAAAATTCCCACCCTGTCCTCCTCCCCACCCCCCAAATTCCCTAAATGCCCGTGTACTCACGACATCCTGTCTCCTCGCGCCACTCTCGGAGTTCCCCCCCCGCCGCCTGACACGCGGCCGCGTATCCCTGGAATGCGGGGCAGGGATCGCCCCCCCCGGCCCCTCCCGCGCACACCTGGAGCTCGCACGTGTCCAGGTGCGCCCGGGGGGGCACCGCGCGGTGACACCCCCCGAAGGGCCCTGCGGGGTCCGCCAGCACCGCGCAGCGCCCCGGGGGGCACGGGGGGGTCCCCGCAGGGTCCGCATGTGTGCAGTTCGGGGGGGGCGTCCCCAAAATTTTGGGGTCCCCGCAGAGCCCGCGCAGGGGTTGTTGCGCGGGAGGCAGCGTCAGCACCGCGTAGGAATCGCCGTCGTACAGGATTTTGGGCCCCCCCCGCACGTGGAGCAGCCGGTGGGACCCCACCTGGGTGACCCCCAGGGAGCCCCCCCCGAGCCACAGGGGGAGCACGTGGCGCTCACCGTCCACCTGGGAGGGGGCAAAGGGGGGGTTGGAGCCTAAAAGGGGGGGAACTCCCCAAAAATAGGGATTGCAGCCCCACAACTGGGGTTTGTACCCCAAAGAAACAGGGTTTATAACCCCAAAAATAGGGTTTATACCCCAAAATATAGCGGTTCTACCCCAAACCCCATGGTTTAAAATGCCAAAGAATACGGTTTATACCCCAAAACCCAGGGTTTATACACCAAAAGACAGGGTTTATAATCCCAAAGAAATACGATTTTGTACCTCAAAAACAGGATTTATAACCGCAAAAATAGGGTTTTCATCCCAAAACCAGGGTTCGTACCCCCTGCCAAAAAGGGTTTATACCCCAAAAGTAGGGTTTGCATCCCCTCAAACAGGGTTTGCATGCCAAAAAGAACAGGGTTTATACATTAAAAAAAAAAAAAAGGGTTTAAACCCCAAACCAGGGCTTGCACCCCAAAGTCAGAGGTTTTACCCCAAAACAGCCCTTTCCCTGCTGCTGAGCCCACCAAACCCCCATTTCCATCCTCTTTTTCCCCAAAAAACTGGTGTTCTCACCCCAAAACCAGGGGTTTTGCCCCCAAACCAGGACTTGCACCCTCAACTCCAGGATTTGCATCCCCAACCCAAGGTTCTCTTCCCCAACCCAAGGTTTTCCACCCCAAACTGGGACTTGCCCCCCCAAACCCAGGTTTCCCCGCCCCGCACTCACCATGACCTCCCAGCGCTGTCCCCTGTCCATGGCCACCGTCATCCCCTGCGCCGTCACCGTCACCCTCCTCACCTCCCCCTCGTGCTGCTCCAGGGCCACCCTGAGGGGCTGCGGCCCCTCCTCGGGGTCCCCCGCGTCCATCTCCAGCAGTGGGAGGGTGCAGGACCCCCCGAAGCCCCCCAGTTGCCCCCCGAAGGTGCTGTAGGTGCCCCTCCCCAGGAGCTGGCAGTGCCCACAGGCGCTGCGGGGGTGGCACCCCAGGACCCCGTCTCGCACCCCGCACTCCTGGCCCGGGGGGCACCCCGGGGTGGGCTCACACTCCACGTGCCCCCCCCTAGAGCACACGCAGCGCTGGGTGCAGGACGGGGAGGGGTAGAACTGCGCCCCCCGGGGGTAATAACGACCCTCCAGAGTGCAGCCGCACTGGGATAGCGGGACACAGGAATCCCCGCTTCGGAAATAACCGGGATCGCAGAAACAGCCCTCGGAGCACGGGGAGGGCTCGGGGCAGGACGGCGGGCCGGACTCGTCCTGGCAGGTCGGGGGGCAGGGGGGGCCACACAGCTCGTAGTGCTCGTTCGGGGGGCACACAGGGCCTGCAGGGACGGGAGAGGGGTGAGGAGCACAAACACATATGGACAAGCAAAAAACCCCCAAACCCCACATGGACACCGCAAAAAATCCCATGCAAAACCCAAACCCCCATGGACACCCCAGAAAATTCCCTGCAAACCTTCAAACCCCTATGGACACCCCAAAACCCTCACAGACACCCAAAAAAACCCAAACTCCCACGGACACCCTAAAACCCCCATGGACTCCCCAAATTCCTATGGACACCCAAAAAAATCCCAAACCCCTATGGACACTGCAAAGAAATTCTACAAAACCCCCAAGCCCTCATAGATACCCAAAAAATCCCTTGAGAACCACAAAATTCCCATGGACACCCAAAACCCCCACAAACCTCCATGGACACACCCCCTCCCCCTGCAAACCCTCATAAACACCCAAAAAACAATCTGCAAACTCCCAGGGATGCCCCAAACCCCCATGGACACCCCAAAACCCTCATGGTCACCCTAAAACCCTCATGGACACCCAAAAAAACCCCTGCAACCCCCCAAAACTCCATGGAGACCCCAAAATTTCCTTGCAACCCCCCAAAGCTCTATGGACACCCCAAAAACCTCATGGACCTCCAAGTCTCCCTGTGCAGACCCCCAAATCCCATGTGTGAACCCCAAACCCCCAATGTACACCCCAAAACTCCCTTGCCTGAACTGCACAACCTCCCATGCAAACCTCAAACCCCCTTGTGCAGATCCAAGACCTCCCCTGGACACCCCAAAATTCCCCATGTAGACCCCAAAACCCCTCATAGACACCCAAAACCTCCCCATTTACACCCCATAACCACTGTGGACACTCCAAAACCCTCATGGACAACCCAACCCCTCTCCATGGACACCCTAAATCTCCCCATGCAGACCCCAAGACCCCCCCAACCAAACCTCAAACCCCCTGGAGCAGATCCAAAACCTCCCATGGACAACCCAAGACTCTCCATGTAGACCCCAAAAGCCCCATGGACACCCCAAAACCCTCCCATGCAGATCATAAAACCCCCACGGACACCCCAAAACACCCATGCAGACCCAGAATTCCCATTCACACCCCAAAACCCCACAGACACCCCAAACCCCCTATTCACACTCCAAAACCCCCATGAACATCCCAAAACTTGCCATTCACACTCCCAAACCCCGCCATTCACACCCCTAAACTCCCCATTCACACCCGAAAACCACTGTGGACACCCTGAAAACCTCATGGACAACCCAAAACTCCCCATGCAGACCCTAAACCCCCATGGGCACTGAAAAAAACCCATTCACACCCCAAAACCCCTGTAGATACCCCAAAACCCTTTTGGACACCCCAAAAGCCCCATGCAGGCCCCCAAAATGTCATGGACAATCCAAAACTCTCCCGCAGACCCCAAAACCTCCATGGACACCCCAAAACCCCCTGTGGACACCCCAAGCCCCCATGGACATCCCAAATCCCTCTGTAGCCCCAGCGTCCCGTACTGCAGAATGCGTGTGTGCGCCAGGGCCCCACGGCCACGCCGCGGCTCTGGCATGCGCTGACGTAGGCGCCCACAGCCTGGCACACGGTGTCGTGGTGGCCCTCGAAGAGACACGTGTCAAACAGACAGTCCTCCAGGAATGGGGCGGGGTCAATGACCTCGTGGCACGTGGCCAAGGGCCCCCGTTTCTTCACCAGGATGCCACAGTGCTTGTCCCCACGGTAGGTACGGCGTTGGGTGTTGCTGCACCCCTGGCAGCCCTCAGTGCACCCTGGGGAGCACCCAGGGACCTCAGAGACCTTCCAGCTGTCCCCAAAGTGGGTGTCATTGTGGGCAGGGTGGCCCTGGCGGGTGACAAAGTCGTCATGGGGGTCTCCGTTGGCATTGCCGCAGAGGCCACAGACGGCGCCGGTGAAGGTGCCGGGCAGGATCACGCGGGCGTAGCTGTGCCAGTCGAAGGTGACGGTGACACCAAAGGCCGTGCTGATGAAGCCGTGGACACCCCGCAGGGACACCCGGAGCTCGTGGGAGGGGTGAGAGAAGGGCAGGTCCAGCAGGACGCCGTCAACCTGTGGGTGGGAGGTCAAAGGATGGACTTGGAGACCACCCAGGGGGTATGGGATGGGCTTGAAGGGAACCTGGATGGCATGGGATGGCCTTAGAAGCCACCTGAAGACCATACAGTGGCCTTGAAACCCAACATAACACCATACAATGACCTTGAAACCCACCTAAACACCTTAAAAAGACCTTGAACCCCCACCCAGGTGTCATGTGATGACCTTGAAACCAATATGAAGACCACGCAAAGACCTTGAACCTCCCCCAAATGCCACACAATGACCTCAGCCCCTCCCAAAACCCACGGAATGACTGAACCCATCCTCTGCCTCTCCCCTACCTTGACCTTCTTGGGGTGCTCCTGGCTGAGGCTGAGGCTCACATTGAACACCTCCAAGGTGACCACCTTGGTGAAGGACACACGGTTGTTCCCACGGTGGTTGTTCTCCACGGTGACATTGAAGGGCACGAGGGTGGGGTCAGGGGAGCACAGCCCGGCCAGCAGGTACACACAGGTGCCCATGAAGTCGTAGCGGTGCCCGTCGAAGGTGGTGTAGTGGGGGTCCCCCGTGGCCACACAGATGGAGCGGTTGGTAGCCACGCACCTCCTGACGCCCTCCACCACGGCACACACCTCACCTGACTTACACCTGGCCTCCTCACACACAACCATGCCCAGCTCCGGGTCACAGCGGCACCAGGAGCGGCACAAGGGGTCCCCCCAGAACTCCTCACCGGGGCGGTGGTAGCGCCCGGCACGGGTGCAGCCGCAGCGGGACACAGGCACACAGTGCCCGGCGCTCAGCACGTGGCCATGGTCACATGCACAGGACTCCACGCACGGCAGGGCACACGAGGAGGGAGCATCTGGGTCGGAGCAGGTGGCTGGGCAGGCAGTGCCACATGGCTCATAGTGGCTGTTCTCGGGGCAAGGGAGGGCTGGGGAGAGAGAGAACTGGGATGAGGGATGGAGAGAGTGGAGAGCATCTGATGGGAGGGGTGGGAAAGGGTCTGGGAAACCAGGAGAAGGGTATGGAGCATGAGGAGGAAAGTCTAGGAAGTGTGGAAGTGTGAGATGGGGGCTGGGACATGTGGGAAGGGGTCTGGGATACAAGGGATGGGGGCTGGGAACGGGCAGGACAGGGTCTGGAACATGTAGGAAGGGTCTGGGCCATGCAGGATGGGGGTTGGGACATGCAAGGAGGTCTGGGAAACAGGGAATGGGGTCTTGGACAAGTGAGATGGGGTCTGGGACATGTGCGAAGGGTGTGGGAACAGGCAGGACAGCGTCTGGGACACATGGGAAGGGGTCTGGGACACACAGGATGGGGTCTGGGTCACAAGGAGCAGAGTCTGGAGCACCAGGAGAAGGTTCTGGAGAACTTCCAGAAGAGGGATTTGAGGGCTTCACACTGAGATGGATCTCACTGCTCCAGAAGTGCCCCAAAAATGCCCCCCAGGACCTGAAGTGCCCGCCAAGTGGCCCCTCAGAGCCCCAAGGCCTGGGAGGATGGACCCTATGGAAAGGGGGGGCTCTGGGGGGCCTGGGGCCTCTGGGGGTCTAGAGGGGGTCAGGGAGGGTCTTAGAGGGGTCTTTGGGAATTTTAGGTAGAATTCAGGGAATTTTGTGTGAACTCCGGAGGATTTTGGTGAGATTGGGGGCAGGGTTAGGAGGAATTAAGGGATTTTGGGGTTGAATTAAGGGGTTTTTGGTGATATTTGGGGGATTTTGGGTGGAATTAAGTAGTTTTGGGGCAAAACCAGGGATCTGGGGAGAAACCAAGGGGATTTTAGGTTGGATGAAGGGAATTGGGGATGGAATTGGGGGACTCAGGGGATTTGGAATGAAACCAGATAGGTTTTAGGAGCTGGACCGCAAAGCACCCCCATCCCTTACGGCATCCTGCTGGTGTCCTCCAGTCGCCCACGGTCGCCCCGCTCCTCCGGCACGTGGCTGCGTAAGTCTCCAGCACCCGGCACAGGACCTGCCTCGCGCCGCGGCTCCGGCACAGCTCGGCCAGGCAGCTGCCAAAGAACTCCTGGGGCTTCACCACAGCATGACATGCCCGGAAGGGCCCCTGGAAGGACTTCTTGATGATCCCACAGTAGCTGTTCCCACCCCAAAGCTCCTTCTCCTCGCACACTGGGCACTCCCCATCACAGTGATCCCAACAAAGGGGATCCTGGGCATCGGGGTCGGAGCTTCTCCAGCCCCTGGCCCAGGCCACCAGGGCAGGGATGTTGTCGCCGGCCTCGGGGATGTCGTCCAGGGGCTGCAGGTTGAAGTTTCCACAGAGGCCATGGACGTGGCCGAAGAAGCTGCTGGGGAGGTCGATGAAGAGATGCCAGTTCCAGTCGTAGGAGACCCGGAGCCCAAAATCCGTGTCCAGGGTGACGCGGAGCCCGCTGGGATGGACACGGAGCCTCCCATCCACCAGGAACACTGGGAGCAGGGCCAGCTCCCCGTTCACCTGCCAGCATTCCCAGGTATCCCAGGGTTGGATTCAACACACACCAGCATTTCATTCCCAATATTCTATTTCCTACATATCCCAATTCTTTTTCACAGCATGTTCCCAACATTAAATCCCATCATACCCCAATGTTTTACACATCACATATCCCAATATTTTATTCCTGCCATATTTTATCCCAACATTCTATTCCTACCATGTTCAAATATTTTATTCCCAAAATATCCTAACATCCCCCAGTATTTTATTCCTGGTGCATCCCAACATCTTATTCTTGAAATATCCTACTATTTTATTCCCTAGATACACCAGCATTTTATTCCCAATTTATCCCAACATCTTATTCCCAACGCAGCCCAACATTTTATTCCCAGCTCATCCCAACATCTTATTCCTGGCATATCCTAATGTTTTATTCCAGACATATCCCAACATTTTATTCCAAATAAATCCCAAAATCTTATTCCCAGCCTATCCCAACATTCTGTTCCTGACATATCCAAATATTCTATTCCCAACATTTTATTCCCACTGTATCCCGACATTTTATTCCTGACACATCCCAATATTTTATTCCCAACATACCCAAACACCGTATTCCCAATTTGTCCCAACATCTTATTCCTGGCACATACCAATATTCTGTTCCTGACATATCCAAGTACTCTATTCCCAACATTTTATCCCCAAAACATCCCAAAATTTCAACAATCTACCTCCCAGTCTGACTGATTTATCCCAAAACAACACTAGTGCTGACAGAACCATTGGCCAGATGAAGAAGGATGTTGGGAAGTGCTGGATAAAGAAAAAAATTGGAAAAAATCCCAGATTTCTCCCCTTTCCCCCCCAGCTCACCCGAACTTTCCCGTCCTCGTTGTGGTGGAAGGACACGCGTTGTCCATAGACGTCGATGTTGACGACGGAGACATAGGACACGGATCTGATCCCGCCCCGGATGTCGTTCCTGGCCTCCACCCTAAAGGGCTCCAGCCTGGGGTCATTCCCATGGGATTCGGCCATGGTGTAGGTGCAGGTTCCTTGGAAGTCGAATTCTAGCCCGTCGAAGGTACGGAAGTGGGGATCCCCCCATGCCCAGCACGTGGCCACCAGCGCTGGGACACAGCGGGATTCGGAGCCACGGGGCCGGCACCGCTCCTTGGGGCGGCACCTCAGGGACTTGCAGGGGTCTGGGAAGGGAGGGAGAGAGGGGGGAATGTGGGATGAGAGTTGGGAGAAGCCATGGTTTGGGGGAAATGATGGGAAAATACTTGGGGGAAGTCATGGAAGGAACTATCGGATGGGAAAAACAATGGGATGGGAAAAATCATGGGAGAAACCATGGGAGGAACCACAGGATGGGAAAAATTGTGGAATGGGAAAAATCATGGGAGAAATTATGGAAGGAACCATGGGATGGCAAAGACCTGGGGAAAAAACATGGGAAGAAGAATGAGAAAAAATGTGGGATGGGAAAAAACATGGGAAAGACCATGGAAGGCACCACAGGATGGGAAAACCATTGGAAAGATTGTGGGGAAAAAACATGGGAAGAAAAATGAGAAAAAACATGGGATGGGAAAAAAACATTGGAAAGACCATGGGAAAAACCATGGGATGAGAGAAACCAGGGGAGGAACAATGGAATGGGAAAAGTCATGGGATGGGAGAAGCCATGGGAAGAACCTCCCCATTCCTGACCCTCAGTGCCAGGGATGGGATCTGTTCCCTCTGCCTCCCCTTCCCGCAGGATTTTCCCCACTAAATCAAAATCCCCTTTTCCCCCATTTTCCCTCACTTTTGTTGATACATCCCAAGACCCCATCCCGAATTTCACAGGATTCATCCTCAGTGCAGGAGTGGTCGTGGCAGGTGAGGCCCTGGCCTGGGATACAGGAGCACCGGCGCTGGCAGCGATCCTGGAAAACCACCTCATAGGGCTGTAAGGAGGGAGGAAGGAAGAAAGGGAAATCCATGAAAATAGGGGATAAAAAGGAAAAACGCAGGAAAGAAGGACATAAAGGCAGAAAAATCGTGAATAAAATGATTGAAAAGCGGGGCAGAAAAGGCAAAAATGGGGGGGAAATACTGGGAAAATAGAAAAATAAGGGAAAAGGGGAAAAAGCAGGGAAAAAAGACAAATGCATAAAATTACGGAAAAATGCAGAGAAAATGCATGAAAAGAGATGCCAATGCATAAAATAGGGAAAAATACAGGGGAAAAAACTTCCTAAAAATAGAGAAAAAAAGGAATTACATGCAGAGGGGGGAAAAAAAAGACAAAACGGGGGGGGGGGAATGCTGGGAAATAGACAGGAAAATAGGGAAAAGGGAAAAATGCAGGGAATAAAGATGTAAATGCATAAAAATAGGGAAAAAAGGAAGGAAGTAATACAAACCGTAAATCCATAAAACTAGGGAACAAAAGGGAAGTGCCATGGAAAGAGAGATAAATGCAGAAAGATATGAACAAAAGGAAAAAAATGCAGGAAAAATAGAGGTGAAACAGAAAAATAGGGAAAAGAAGGAAAAAAGTGCAGGGAAAAGGATGCAAATGTATAGAAATAGGGAAAAATGCAGGGGGAAAGGATGTAAATGCCTAAAAATAGGGAGAAAAGGGAAAATACCCTGGAAAAACTACCTTGTAGTATCGCCCATCCTCAAAGCATCCGCACTGCTCCTCGGGAATGCAGCCCTGCCCATTTGACACGGAGCCCTGGTGGCACTGGCAGCCCTCAGCACAGGTCTGGGGACACGTGGCAGCCCTCCCGGCGCAGGTGTTGGCGCAGGTGTTGGTGCACAGGGAGTAGGTGCTGTTGGCCAGGCAGGGGAGGGCTGGAATTTTCATGGAATCATGGACTGAGTTGGGTTGGAAGGGACCCTAAAGCTCAGCCCGTCACCATCATCCCACATCCTGAGTGTCACCACTGTCACCCAACCCCAAAGAAGAGACATCTCCCCCAACTCCCAGCGCTCCAGGTGGGCTCTCACCAGGGGATCTCCCCAACCCCAAACCAGAGACATTTCCCCCCAAACTCACGGCAGAAGGACGGTGTCCTCCAATCCCCCACAGCGACTCCAGCATCCTGGCACATGCTGACGTAGCTCTGGATGCTCTGGCACAGGGCACCTGTATCCCCTCCAGTCACACAGAGGTTATGGATGCAGGATTGGGAATATGGGGTGGGGTCAACGACGCTGTGGCAGGAGCCAAAGGGCCCCTCGGGGGCCGTGAGGAGGCCGCAGTAGTTGGGTTTTTGGAGGACCAGCACCTTCTCCTTGGAGCAGGTGGAACACTCCTTGTCAGGGCAGGCATCTTCACAAGGCCTATCCTTGGTTTTCCATGCAGATCCAAAGGCTGTTGCATCCAGAGCCAGCTGGCCGTTGGAGAGGTGGAAATCATCGTCATGTTGCCCGTTGTAGTTGCCACAGAGGCCACACAGGTGGCCCAGGTAGGTCTGGGGGACTGTGAGTGTCACGTGCTGGGCGAGGTCGTAGTGGACGACGAGGCCGAAGTCAGTGCGAAGTAGGACCCCTGTCCCATGGGGATACACCTGGATTTGCCCCTCGCCCAGGATGGCCGGGAGGTGGTGAGAGATTGAATTCACCTGGGAAAGGGAAGGAAGAGTCCTCCAGTGAGGAGGTGGGACCAGAAATGTGGGGAAAACACCTTCCAACCAATGTTTTGATGCATTTATGGGTCTTGCTTGAAAAGAAAAGTTGGGATGAATATGGATTGGGCTTGGAGATAGGGTGAGGTGTCCCCTCCATCAATGAAACACAATTCTGGGGGGAACCCATGAGATCTGGCCCATGAAGTACCACCTTACCATGACATCTCCCCGTTTTCCTTGGGTTAAGGTCAAGTTGACGCCATAGACTTCCACAGACAACGCTTGGATCCTGGAAACCTTCCCCTTCCTACGGGCCTCTTTCTGGATTGTGACCACAAACGATGTCACGTCACCCGTGCAGGTCTGGCTGAGGATGTAGGAGCAGGACCCGGTGACATTGAAGGCCACCCCGTCGAAGGTGATATAGGCACTGTCTCCCATGGCCACGCAGGTGCCAGATGCTGGCGGGGGACACTGGAAGATGCCATCAATGACCTTCCCAGGGCTGCCATCAGGACAGGAAATATTTTGGCATTCCACAGCACTGCTGGAGAGGCACCGGCACTCCTCATGCTCTGTGGGGTAGAAGGTCTCATCCTCCTTGTAGTACACGCCGTGGTGGGTGCAGCCGCAGTGAGCTGTGGGCACACACTCGTCCCCGCTGAGCATGAAGCCATCATGGCATGCGCAGCCCTCGCGGCACCGCCCTGAGCACGTGGCAGAGCTGGCACCGCAGCTGTGCTGGCAGGTGTTAGAGCAGAGCTTGTAGGAGCTGTTAGGAGGGCAGGGAATATCTGTTGGGAAATAACAGGATCCGTGAAGAACCAGGAAATTCCCAAGCCAAACCCTGGAGGTTTCCCAGAGTTCAAGTGTGTCCGGTGGTGAACATCACCAAACACAGAGTTTTTAGCCCAATCTTTGTTTTCGTCCTTGTAGACATGATGAGGGACATCATCCAATGATAACGCAGTGCCTAACCAGTGATGATCCAATGATCATCCATAAGGAACATCCCAATGCACTTAAATAGGAATTTTTGCCCCTAAATCACATAATTTTCTCCATTTTCATGGAGAAAACTGGGACGTTCCATCAAGGAATGGGATCCTCACATGCTGGATCCTCACATGACCTCCTGGATCCCTTTGCCCCAGTTCTGCTATTTTTGGTGCATTTTTGGTGGTTTTCCCTCTAAATCATCCAATTTTTATCCAATACCAAGAAATTGGAACTCTGGGGGGAAAATGATCCCAGATGAAACAACTTCTTCCTTGCAAAGGGTTTACTTTGGGTGGAAACGGGGATTATGGGACCAACCAAGATTTTGGCTGAGATTCCTACTGGTTTCCCACCTCTGGGTTGTTCCTACATGGATTTGGAGTGGAATTGAGGATCCTGCTGAAGGAAAACCCCTCCAGTCATCCCAACTTACAGCAGAAATTATCCATCCTCCACCTCCCAATGGACACGCCGGCAGCCTGGCACGCGCTGGCGTAGCTGGCAATGATCGGACACATCCCATCTTCCTGCTCCGGGACGAGGCAGGAGTCCCGGATGCAGCTCTGGAAGTACGGCTGGGCGTCCACGTGGCCATGACATGCTCCAAAGGGTCCATCCTTTTCCAACACAATCTCGCACCCCATCCCGGACACCTCCTGTTGCAGCCGTGGTGCCATGGTGGCACCAGAACATTCCGCCATTGATCTCTCAGTGCATCCCAGGATATCGGCAACCTTCCAGCTGCTCCCAAAGGCATCCGGGTCTGACGTCATGTTGCTGTTGCTCATCCTCATGTCGTCACTGGCAGCGCCATTGAAGTTCCCACAGAGCCCACACAGGGTGTTGGCGAAGGTGCCAGGCACTGTCACAGTGACATGGCTGTGCCAGTCATAGGTAACAACAAGGCCAAAGTTGGTCTCTACCACTGCGTCCCGCCCGTGGCGATAGACAACAATCTGTTTGTCACCATGAAGATATGGGAGGTTGACCAACCGCTCATCGATCTGGGGGAAAAACCATAAAAATGGACCAAATTTGGGATCTGATGGGGAAATCCCAACTTATTTTCAACAGCCACAGCATCCAAATGGCATTGGTTTAATTAAATATTAGATGGAATTAAGTTTTGGATTTAAGAGGATGAGGTGGTTCAAGTCCCAGTGGGAGGCTGACCAACCACTCAATCTGGGGGGAAAACCATAAAAATGGATCAAATCTGGGGTCTCACAGCAAATTCCACCAGTGTTTTCAACAGCTGGAGCACCCAAATGACATTGATTTAATTCCATTTCAGATTTAATCATTAATTAATGGGTGAGGAGGTTTGGGAGGAGGTGGTGGAAGGATAAAGGAACATTTCCTGAGCTCACCATGATTGTCCCAGGCTGTTCCCTGCTGATGCCAATGGTTTTGTTGTAGACTTTGACTGTCACCATGGCAATGGCCAACAGGCGCCTGTCGCCCTGGCGGCCGTTCTGCACCAACACCTGGAACCCCACCAAATTTGGGTTGTCTTCACATAACCCAACAAACAGGTAGACACACGTCCCCTGGAAGATGAACCTCCTGCTGTCAAAGGTTTCATAGTGGGTGGTTCCAACGGCGCTGCAGACCCCAAAAACTTTGGGATAACAGTCCTGGATTCCCTCTTGCACCCGACACTCCTCCTCTGCACCGCAGCTGGAATTCCGGCACACTGCCTGCCGCTGCTCCGCATCGCACACACAGCGCTGTGTGCAGGTGGGATCACCCCAGAACTCCTCTCCTAGGCCATGGAAGAGACCCCCGAAGACGCAACCACAGTCAGAGGGGGGGATGCAGATGTTGGCATCCAGGACAAGGCCCTCGTGGCACACACAGGAGTCCACGCAGGTGGTGCTGGCGGCACAGCTGGACGGCACAGCCGGGATGTTGCAGGTAGGGGGGCAGGTGGGGCCACAGGTGCTGTAGGTGCTGTTGGGAGGGCAGGTGAAAGCTGGAAAGGGAGGGAGACCATGGTCAGGGTGAGGTGAGACGTGGTGGGATGGACTTCCTGGACTATCTACACAGACTTCCTGGAGTTTCCATGGATTTTCTGAAGTCTCCATGGGCTTTCTTGATCTTCTACCTGGACTTTCTGAGTCTCCACAGACTTCCTGGAACCTTCCACCTGGACTTTCTGAAGTCTCCACGGGCTTCCTGGACTTCCTGCTTGGACTTTCTAGACACTCCATGGACTTTATGGACTTTCTACATGGACTTCCTGGAGTCTCTCTGGACTTTATGGACTTTCTACATGGACTTCCTGGAGTCTCCCTGGACTTTATGGACTTTCTACATGGACTTCCTGGAGTCTCTCTGGACTTTATGGACTTTCTACATGGACTTCCTGGAGTCTCCCTGGACTTTTACAGACTTCCTGCTTGGACCTGCTGCCATAACCTTTCCCAGCACACCATTCCACAGATCTTGGGACCCACTTGAATTAAGCTCTGCCCAACCCAGGGAGTATTTCCACCCAACCATCCCCTCTACTCACGACATCCCATCCTCATTCTCCAATCAGAAATGTCGATCCCATTCTCTTGGCAGTCGTCGGCATAGGCCTGGAGGGCGTGGCACAGCACAGCACGATGGCCGCCATGGGCGCACAGGTCATGGATACAGTTCTTCACGTAGACATTGGGATTGATGGTGCCATGACAGCGCCGGAATGGCCCGGCATGCCAGGACAACACCCCACACCAGCGCTCTGCCTTGTATATCACCTCCTCATCCCACCCACACCGCCCACAGTCCCCCTCGCAGGTGTCCTGGCAGTGACCGCTCCCATTGGTCACCTTCCAGCTCCGCCCCAGCTCCACGATATCCCACACCTTGCTCCCATCGGGAGCCAGTGCATCATCCCGGGGGTTCCCGTTGCTGTTCCCGCACAACCCACAGACTCTCCCGGAAAAAGCAGTTGGAATTTTGACCACCACATGATCGTCCCAGTCGTAGAGGACCTTCAGCATGAAATCCAATTGGATCAACACGGATTTGCCCTTCTGGCGAACCCGAAGCTTCCCGCAGGAGAGGGAGATGGGCAGGCGAGAGCTGTGGTTGTTCACCTGGGGGAGGTAACAACCAGCAAAACAACCAAAAAACCATCAAAATCAGGTAAAATGTGGAGTTTTTGAAGATTTGGGTTTTTTTCATGCAAGGCCTGTCTGCACACTAGGAAATCCCAGAATTATTTAGGAAAAGACCCTCAAGATCACCACTAAATGTGTAATTTTGGTGAAACTCCATAAAATCGCTTGGAATTTGGGAATTACGTTGATTTTTGCTTACCCTCACCATCCCGTTTTCTGCCCGGACCACAGTGACGGTGACATTGTCAATGCGGACGTTGATGGAACCAATGGAGGAGACTTTAGAGTTCTCCTTTTTCTCCTTTTGGACCTCCACAGAGAAGGCAGGAAAGGTGGGATCAGAACTGCAGAGGGTGGTCAAGGTGTAGGTGCATGTTCCCATGAAATCGAAGGTCTTCCCATCAAAACTCCGGTAGTGCGAACCACTGGCGAGCCAGCAGGTGGAGAAGGTCTCCTGGACGCACTTTGGTTGTCCATCCACCACCTCACACTTCTCCTCGCACATCAAATCCTCGCAGGAGACCGGCTCTGGAGCTGCAAAAAACAGGGAAATCCATGGATGGCCAACCGGATAACACCCAACTGTTGGGTTGACGCAACAGGGAAACCCACAGGTGGCCAACGGGACAATGCCCAACCATTGGGCTGACTCAACAATGGGCTCACTGTACTCACCGGTGATGCAGAGCCCAGCAAAGCCGTACCCGGTGTTGCTCTCGAACCCAAACACCAGGAGCCCCATGGGCGCCTGTGGGTTCTCGGCGCTCCGTGTCTGGGGACTCACTGTGATGCCGGCCCAGGAGAACTCCATGCCGGGAACACCGTGCCACTTCATGGTGGCAGCTGGCTGGTGGTTGAGAGTGGTGGCAGCGGTGGCGGCGGTGGGCGCAATGAGGATGGCATGGTTGTAGTAGCCGGGCACAGTGCTGAGGTGGAACGCGGTGCAGTGGGCAGTGACAGGTGGCACGATGAGGAGGAAGGGGTCTTGCCAAGACGAGCCAGTGAAGAACAGCAGTACCTGCACCGCTGCCACTGCAGTGAGGTGCAGGGGGGAGTTGTGGTTCACCACCAATGCCCGCGCCTCCCCTGCTGCCATGGCCATGGTGACCTCCCCGCTGCTGCTGTTATAGGTGATAGTGTTGCAATCCTCCGTCACCACATAGATAAGGTCAGTGCCTGGCTGCACCGGGTTGGGTGGCACCACGTAGCTCCTCCCCCACGCCACTGTTGGCAGGAGCTGCTCCACCACAAAGTCGTAGCCCGCGGCCACCTTGGTGCAAGTGTGGCCACTGAGCACGGCCACAGGCGCATTGGCCACCACAGCAGTGCCAGTGAAGTCCTGGCTGCTCTGCAGCTGCAGGCTGTGGTAGGGCTGCAGGAAGAGGCGCAGCACCGCACCCGGCACGTAGGTGTCCCCGGCATACTGGAATGTGGCCGTGGTGGTGATGGAGACAGCAGTGATGGCAGCACCGGCGACCACCACGAGCTCAGCCATGCCGTAGGTGTCATTCCCCATGGGCGTCACCACATAGTACCTGGTGCCCAGGCTGGGCATGGGCAGCAGGGCCGTGGCACCCACTGTGTAGCCCTTGGCGCTCATGGCCACCACGGCCACATCAGCACTGGCCCGGACCACCACAGTCTTGTTGGCCATGCAGCTCCCTGTGAGCTCCAGGTGGGCGGGAATGGGCACGGCCTTGGTGACACCGGGTGGCACAGTGACCTCGCGGGTGCCGAAGGGACCGTGCAGTGTCACCGAGGCCGCCGTGTCACTGGGGCCCTGCCGGGTGAGCAGCAGCTTCAGTGTTGCACTCGGGGACTCATCGTCATTCTGGGGGAACACAGCCAGGAATTCCCGACCCCCCGAGCTGCAGCTGGAGAGAGCTGGGAAAACAGGGAAGGGGGCTCCTGGGTCAGTGGATAGCGAGGAAATAGGGGATTGGAGGGATGATTTTTATATAGAATTATACATGGGGGTTTATATAGATTTACATAGATTTGATAGAGAATTATATAGATTAATATATATCATAAAGAATTATATAGATTTTTTAAGTAGAATTATATAGAACAATATCTATTATATAGAATTATAGACATTTTTTAATGTAGGATTATATGCAATAATAAATATTGGATAGAACTATAGAGATTTTTTTAGAGATTATTATATAGAATATATATTATATAGAATTATATTTTTTTAGAGAGAATTATATAGAATAGTACCAGATTATTTAGGGTTTAGGTAGGATTATAGAGAATAGTACCTATTATAAAGAATTATATAGATTTTTTATGTAGAATTATATAGAATAATATCTACTATATAGAATTATATAGGGGGGTTTATGCAGGATTATATAGAATAATACCTACTATATAGAATTACATAAATTTATTAAAAGATTATATGGAATAAAACCTATTATATAGAATTATATAGATGTTTTATGGGGAACTATATAGATTTTTTTACAGAGATGATATGGATTACCTAATAAAGACAATTACATAGGTTTCTCATAGAGAATTATATAGAATAATATATAGAACCATACAGAATTTTTTATATAGAGTTATATAGGTTTTTAATGTAGGATTACATAGAATAATATCTATCACATAGAATTATATGGAATATAGAATTATAGCAGGAATTGTATTTATATGACATGAAAGGTGTAATGGCAGCCTTATCTTTAATTTATAGGCTCTATTTTTATATATAATCACAGTAGAAATTATATTGACGGGTCATTATGTTGATAAATAACATATAAGTGAAAGCTATTAAACAATTTTAATAACTATTATTATTATCATTATTATGTATAAATAAATTGTAAATTCATAATAAGTATTCTCTACTATTAATTAACTATATACAATTATAAGCAAAATGTTATATTATAATCCAGTACAATTCTGTCACATTTCATTGTATAACAATATAAAATTGTCCATATTTAATTTTTATTTATATATTATTCCATTTTATAATTATCTCTCAATATCCAGATGTAATTACAGCTATAATTTGCTGTATTAATATACCAATATATTACATAAACATATATTAGCTATTTTTAGATATATTAAGAATAACTTAATTTTATATATCATATTTTTATATAATACAAGAGAGATTATATTTATTTCCTATTACTATATTCATACATATAGATTATATTTATTTATTATTTCATTTATCTATTTATTATTATATTAATATAGACATTACATTTACTTTCTATTCTTATAGCCATACATAACTATAGTGGTGTATATTTAAAATTAATTTAGTGTAAACTTGAAATTAATATAACCACAGAATCTAACAATATAAGTATTAATAAGTAATAATGTTATTCAATTACACTATTTAATATTATTAGCCAATTAACACTTTAAATCTTTTGTAAAAGTTAATATTTATCCATATAAATCTACAGAAATATATGAAATTAAACTACACAAAGAATAGGGATTTTAAAAGGACCAAAAAGGGATTTTAGAGATTCTTGGCAGAAAAACCCCCAAAAGATGATTATTGATCACCTTTTAATCAATTAATCAATTGATTAAAATTTGCTTAAAATTTGATTTTAAAAGCCCTTAATATATTTATATATAAAAATGGGTGATAAGGATCTTTTTTAATTTAAAAAATAGGGACTTAGGGGGTATTGAGAGAAAAAAGCTGATTTTGGTCGTTTTTTTCTGAAAAAAAAACCAAACAATTGGGAATTTGGGTGTTTTGGGTGACAAATTGGGAATAAAAAACAGGAATAAGGGTTTTTTTCTCAGAAATAAATTATAAATAACGGGTTTTTTCCTAAAAGGGGGGATTTTGAAGAAAAATCAACAGCAAAATAAGGCATCATGATTTTTTAAACTGAAATACAGTGACTAAAAGGGTTTTTTTCCTAAAACAGAGTTCAAAAGAGCTTTTTTTTCCCCTAATAAATTCAATAAAAAGAAAAAAGGACTCAATTAAAAAAATTAAGGAAATAAAAGGGATTTCCCTTTAAAAATAATTTAAAGAAAGGGTTGAACACGTTCGTGAAAATTAGAAAAAAAAATCAGGAAAACAGAGAATAAAACTGATTTTTTTTCCTTAAAAAAATATTGATCTTTCAGTAAAATAGAGCAAATAAAAGGACTTTTTTCCTTAAAACCCCCTCTAAAAATGGATTTTAAAGTTTTGGGTTTTTTTTAATAGATGTTTTTGTTTGTTTGTTTTTTAGTGGGGAAAAACCCAAATACTTTTTTTATCTCGAAAAACCCCACCCAAACCCCAAA